TCATAAAGTTGCCATGGTTACCCATCCCGTCCTATAGACTTGTTTCTTAATTCAAACCCCTTATTCCCAAGTAAAAATACATAATACTGTCGTCTTAGATTGTAAGCTGTAGGAATTGTGTAGCTTCCATGTTCTGCATAATGCTCAAGGTTTAATTAAAAGTTAAATCAATAGTTACAGTGGCAAGTTGAACTCAAAACCATCTATTGTGCTTTGGCATAATTTTCCATGTTTCTTAATTACATACTCAAAAGAATGTGATATTATTAAAATTAGTTAATAAAACTTTTTTGTCTGTTGCTTAATGAGTAAAAGAATTTGTAGGATTGGTATTAAATACTATTAAATGCCTTAAAAATTAAAATAAACAACACAAACAACTTAAGTATGTGAATATACTGTCCCGATCAAATGAGAGATGCAAATTTGTTGAAGATTCAGAAAATAGATTAGCACACAGAGGCTATAATTATTGTTAAAAATTCAGCCATTCCAAAAATGTTTTAGTATATTGGGCAGTTCCCTAGCAGAGCTCTAAACATTGACTGCTTAAGGTAAGACTGAAAAACCCATCGGCCTTCATGGAGTTGAATTTTAACAGTGTCTTAAATATAGCTCAGATCTGGGATTCCATCCCCTTCCCTTAGGAGATGAATAAAGAACGATTTAAAGCAGCAAAGAAGTATCTTTTGGCAAAACTCAGCATTATTGCCAGGTCAACTGGTATCAGAAAATCAAGGGAAGTATTTCAAGGAGGTTGCATTCACTCTGTAAATCCTCATCCTAATTTCTTAAATCGATTTGTATCATATAGGTAGATGCAGATTAGTTCTTTCTAAAGAACTAATTTTGCCCACTATCAATAGAAAGTGGACGGTTGGGTGTACTTAAATCTAGCCATCAAAACCCTTGTTATCCCATAAGCTGCAGAAAAATGAAATTGAAAATGTTGAAGATGTCTTTTCTGAGAAGAATCAAGGGCTATGTGTATTCCTTCTACCTGCATTGTACCCAAGCCCCACCTATTCCTTTCTTCAGCCTAGTGGATTTCAGATTCTAACCTGGAAACTACACAGAGGATTTATGGTCTGCACTCAATCTCTGCTAGGGAGAATGTGTCTACCCAATAAGTTGCCCAATGACAGGGTTCACTAATGAGAATTTAAAAGCCTTAGCACAGGGGCCTTGAAGGAAAAACAACAAGGGACACAATGGGACTACTAGGCTCTATATATTTAACGTATCTAGGAACTGGTGAACATACAAGGCATAGCAAATAGTGTCTTCTGCAGGATCTTACTTGCTTTCATCAGAATTACAGAGTAAGTCAGCACTGGGAAGAGAAACAGAAGATTTCTTTTTCTCTGATGACTGACTGGATCAATGACACTTCAATCTGGTCTACCTCATCACTTGTAAGTCAGGCAATAAGGGATGTGAGTAGCTAGAACCATTTCCATGGCCCTTTTGTTTTTCCTAATGTACCCACCCTTTCCAGCTGCACCTCACACACTAATGTGACAGTGATGATTAGACTGAGTAGGACTTGAAGAGTGTGGGAGTTTCTTTGCAGTTGAGTTGAGCCATGGCTGCACCACCCTTTGGATGAGTGGCAGGCCATAGTTATGTAGATCTCAGAAGAGAAATTGATGCAGAACCATTAGGAGTACATATTACTTTAAAGTCATATTTACATGATCACCAAGTATAGTATATTATATTGTCACTGACAGAAAGCTGTATTGTACAAAAGATAGCAGTTGAAAATATGATCAGCTTGATTTAAATCCACTGAAAGTTCAATCTGACTAAACTTAAAAACATCTCCATTACACATGCAGGCTCACATGGACATAATTTTAGAACAGTGTGTTATAATTGGAATGCCATTTCTCTTCATATTATCTCTGAGGTGATTGGAGTGGGATATAATAAAATTGTCTAAACTAAGGTTAGACCTGAAAAGCCATTATTTCACCAATAAAAAATCAGATAATTATTTCAAAAGTAAAAGAAATAAACACTGATAACATCTCATTCTGGGACAATGGTGTTTTGCAGAGAAAGACAATATAATTTTTAAATGAAAAAGATCGATCAAACAAATCAAATGTCCTGCAGTATAAAGCAATAAAGAAGAGGGAGATACTGTAAACTGGGATGGGTTTTTCTATGTGAACAAAGTGGTGTGATGTATCTGCCTAGGCATGCATGTCAACTCTCCCATAGACACTCCTAAGGTGTGGCATTTATTTATCTAAAGCCTAAGCCAAATGAAACACATTCCACTTTTGTACCATGTAACCAGTCAGAATAGTCGCATTCATGAAGCTGCAGCTTACAGACATAGTACTGTATTGAAAAGGCTGTTAAACTTAGATAGTTAAAACTAAGAAGGGTTTACTTACGTCTAGATGCAAGTGACAAATGGAGGAAAATTAATAACATTTTGATGGGGAGTAATTCAGTTACTGCTGAAGTCATTTCTTTCTTTTCTTCCTCTGCTAACCAGGATCTTAAGGCACCGAGATGAAATATAAGCAGAACAAGGGTGGGAAGGGGGATTGAGAAGGACTGAAATAAAGAAGAAGATAATGCAAAAAACAGATAGACAAACAAACATAAGGGATGACTTAGAGAACCATGATGTAGTATACTCTATTGCAATCTACTGTGCTACAGTACACTCCTTTTAGGTTCTTGTGCTAATACTTATTAGGCCTAACACCGCACTGTATCGCAGCATATTGTATTGTGATATAAAGAATTATAGCATCATATTTTCATGTGTTACCTTTTGGACAAT